CTTCGCCAGCCTACTTACCCTCCTCTGGACCTGCTCCAGCACCTCAATATCCTTCCTGAACTGAGGGGCCCAGAACTGGACACAGCACTCCAGGTGTGGCCACACCAGTGCTGAGTACAGGGGAAGAATCACTTCCCTGCTCCTGCTGGCCATGCTGTTCCTGATCCAGGCCAGGATGCCATTGGCCTTCTTGGCCACCTAGGCACACTGCTGGCTCATGTTCAGCTTCCTGTCAATCCAAACTCCCAGGTCCCTCTTGTCAATCCAAACTCCCTTCAGTGTAGTTTTTACTCTGCGTAGGCTATTTATCAAGGCTTTATTTATCTTTAACGTAAATACAGCAGTTGGCATAGAATTGGGCTCAATGGTCCATATGGGACCCTCCCAAATTCAAATATTCTATGATTCTATGATTAGCAGAATACACTCATATCCTGATACTGGTTATTCCTCTTTCTGTAGAAGAACCATCTGCAACACTGTGAGTGTCTGTATCACATTATAGCTCTGTTGATACTAGACATAGTCAACAAAAACATAACCTTAATGAAGTAAATATTCATGTATACCTAAACAAAAGCTTCTTAATGTTGAGCTAAGGACAACAGCCTATACATTCCACTGGTGCAAGCCATAAACAGCAAGAAAGCAGGCAGATAAGGCAACAGCTCACTCGCCAGTTCCTCTTCCTAGCTGTACCTACTTCCTTTCCATCACTTACAGTTCTCATCAGTTTACTCATTCTGAGCACCCAGAGCACAGTTTGGCATCTGACTGCACATTTGTTACATCAGCACACACATCCTCATTTCATTTCCCTAATTTCTGTATTAAAATTTAGTATAAGATTCAGACAAATAACTAAATTCACAGACCACCTGCTCTCATATTTTCTAACCATTTCAAAGAAACCAAGCATCTCTCACAACTGGCACCTGCAGGCTGGTGGAATACTTTGCTGCCACAAACCAGCACCCAATTGCAAAACATCATATGACTGTAACATTTGGAAACCATCTCAAGCCCATGGAGATCATCAGACCATGAGATCACCAGTCAACTGGATCTGAGTTCTAGGCTGATGCTGCTTACTCAGTGGGGAGTACAGATGCATGGGCTGTGGTCAGGGAGGATTGAAGGAACTGAGGTTTAGAAGGGGGAACTGATGATTGATATGCAGGAAAGCAGAATGACTCATATGCCAAATCTTGTGCTTTCTACAGTGTAAGCCACTGAACTGTGCCATTTAGGAAGCCTGGGTCAAGTGTAACAGTGATTTGTGAATGGTTGTCATCTTTCATTGATGTGGTATGAGCAACACATGACATTCCCTGTAAGGAGCACTAGAACCTAGAGGTGACTGGCACTGTCCAAAGCAAGGTAGATTTTTTTCATTCTTACAATCTACTTTGAATTTAAAGCATCAGCCATGCAGTTTTGGTGCACACCTGAAGGACCATCTTGATAACTCCCAGTTTAAGATTACAAAACCAAGGCACTCAGTGAAGGAAATGGTAAGGTTGAGACTGCCCCTCCAACTTTGTTTGCTACCTTCCCTCTCTACTTAATGTGCATTGTGGTGCAGTCATGCAGTCAGTGCCTGTCCTGTCCTAGAGAAGTCTATTAGGATGGAAAACAGGGCCCAGCTTTTTGGTACTTATTCAGTAATAGTCATAGTCCTTCATTGCTGCACACCTTCCAGGCCTGTCATGAAGACCATTGATAGTTTCATCATGGTTTTTCCAAGGACGTGCATCACTGTATTATCCATGCACATGCATGCCACGACACTCCACGAGGAGGGAGAAGATCCTCAGTGCTGTGGGTGCACATGTATGACTGTGGAAATATGTGAATAGAAGAGAAAAGTCATGCCAGCACCCAGGTTTTGTCAGCTCTCCTCACAATCCTGCTGGACAGGGCCAGGACTCCTCCTGCTACATCACTGCCTGGATCAAAGTTCCTTTCCCTGCAGCCCTCTTCTTCCAACACTGCACATCTTGTACCCCTCACGAGAAGAGAGGCAAGACTCCTCCAGACAAATCTGCCGCGTTCCTTTAGACACTTCTACTTTGTGCATTTAGCAAACAAGGAATTTTATGTAGGAAAAAACACCAAGTGGTTCCATGGCTAAGACTGTGACTAGCTCATTTCTGAGAGGTGGTTTGTGAGATGGATACATGGAGGTAAGACAGCAAAGTGACAGAGCCAGAGCTCCCCAACCAGCCCAAAGGAAGGCTGAGAACACCTCTCTGTCCCACCCTTGGCTACTTGTACACACTGTTAACAATGTGTAATGCTCACAAAGGCCTAGATGGCAGTAAAGCCTCTGGAGGGAGGTGACACACTTCGAAAGATTCACAAAACCAGCCAGAACAAATATAATCCTGAAAAGTGAAACATTAAAAAAAAAGCTGCTGAACCCAAACCTTATGCATGTCCTTATCTTCCAGACCTTTCAAGTGTCAAATTGCCCTAGCCTCTGGTTGTTTCAAGACTGCATGAGTCATATCCTTGCTAACTGGAAGACTTAAATTGAGTTTGTTCAGCACCCATTAGGATGGAAGGAATTTAGTTAGTAATGATATGAAATGGAAATCACAGGTCTTGTTTTTATTTTAAACCCATTTACTTCACTCTTTCTTAACTGGTTTGAAGTAAACCCGTTTGCCATCACAGTGGCATGGTTACTTTTGCTAACCTGGATAACCTGGATAATAGCAACAAAAACACTTTATGTAACTGACTGTTACAGTCTGTGGAGGTGTTTGCATTTAGCAGCTTCTTTTGCCATCTGAGCCTTTCACATGCCTTTCCTTGCCTCCTGACCACTGGTGAATTGACAGCAAGAGCCTCAGATTGCACCCTTGTTTTGCTGAATACAACCGTGGCTCCCACAGGCTGTAGTCAGAAATTATAAAATTGAACATTTCATTGGCAGTTGATCTCAAAAGCTGAAAGAGGTTTCTAAGTTCTTGGGTGAAATACAGTGTAAAACCATCTTTGAAATAATTGTATAAAACTTGTTTTTACAGTGTGATACTTCCAATGGACCTAACTTGCAGACCAATTTAAGATCTCTCCTTAATTACCAGGACACAAATCATACAGTTTACTTGGAAAATACAAGATCAACATGAAGAGTGTTTTATTAAAAAGCTTAATTTCAGCTATTTATTCAGCAGATTTCCAGAGTATCTAGAGAAAAAACTCAGCATGTCAAAATTGGAGATTTATTGAATACGAAAATGTTTCTCATTATTATGAACTTGATAAGAAAATGAAGAGGTGGATGATACATATAGCAGTTACCTTTCAGAAGGCTGTTCTAGCCATGTTTATGCTTTGCAACACCTGATTGATGTTGACTTTGCTACATTTTAATTTGACTTACCTATGAATATTTTTGGAAAATTCCATTTGTTTACTGTCCTGTCTTTGAATCCCATTTCTCATACTATTTTTTCTTTTAAAAATAGTTTTCATGAGATACTTTAATTTTTCTTCCTTGGTACTTCTATATCAGTTTTACTCATTTGAATTGTGATACAATTTCTCCAAGTCAGTGCTCTCAGACACTCAAGCATCTGTGCTGGCAGGCAAATATATTGATACAAGGCTGTTATTTTTTACTTTCACCATAACTAAAAGTAGGAGGAAAATCTGATTGCAAATAGCCATAGTCAAGATTAAATACAAATCTCTGACTTCAGGTAGTTTGGGATGGTTTAAGAATTTCATATTTATCCAGGCTGGTAGCTGGACCACACCACAAATTTGGTGTCTGTACACGTATAAAAATGTTTCCTGAAGACTTCCATACTGTTCAGTATCTACAGGTAAAAGATACTCTTTGGCTGCTCTCAAGGTGTGATATGTCACAAATGGGGCCCAGCTTTCCTTCTCCACCTCACTGTGGAGAAGGTTTTAATCCCAGCATATAATCTGTTATTATTCTGATATCTAAAGCAAAATGGCTGCACTTAAATAGAAAATTTCAAGGTAAACACAATTATTTGTAAGTAAAGGTCTGCCATCTAATTCATTCGCATCCGAAGCCAGTCTGCTGATGAAGTAATTTTATGTACTTTTTACAGTTTTCAATGAATTCACTGAAATCACCAGACTGGATGATACTTTCAAAGCTAGATGGAAAAATTACTAAAATGACAAATTAATTTGAAAATGAGAACGCTTTTGTTAATACACATAAATACAGACAAAAAAAAAGTACCTCTTAGACTCTGCAGTGTTCTGTGCTCAAAGCAAAGCCTTGATGTCCGTTCAGGTTTTGTTTCCCATCAGTGCAAAACTCAAATAAGGCTTTTCCAGCATTCCCTGCCTGATATTCCAAGTGGGTTTTATTAACTATGTTTTTTTTTTTTTTCCTCTTCAACTTTCACAAGATATAGTGAAAATTTGATCCTCAGATAACAAGAAAAGAGGAATAAACACAGCGCTGCACTGCCTGTGGAGCATCCCAGCAAGAAGCGCGTGCCTCAGGACTGATTTCCCATCGTGTCTCCACTCTGGCCAGGGTACAGCAGCAAGCAATGATGGGCACTAGCACTGCCCTGATGGCTCAGGAGGAGAAATGGAAACAAGGTTGTCCTCTCCTGCAACCTCTTCATGCTCTCCTACTGCAGTCCCAGGTGCTTGGAGCAATGCAGAGCCTGTTTTCACACGTGTGCTGCAGGAACTGTGTAGGCAGTGAGCATGGAAAATAAAGGGCAACTTGCGTACTTTTTTTGTCCTCTTTGTTCCCAGGAATTGTTCTGATTAACATAAAATACCATTTTTATGATAGATTAATAATAATAAACAAAGCTAAAGTTCTGATGTGTACAACAATTGAGAATATTGAGAACTTTTCTATATCCACTTTTAATGAAAAAATGAATAATGAATAGAAATAGAAATATAACAAAGAATTTCCAGTTGAACTAGGAAAATACAGGGATAAATAGAGCAAGTAAAACTGACATTTTACTTCCTGGTTATTTGTATATCCCCATTATTTGTATATTCTCAGTTATTTGTACATCCTGTCCCTACTTAGAGCCACTTATGTTTCAAAACAGACCAGAAAATAAGAACAAAATATCCTCTCAGCACTTTTACTGACATATTCTCAGTTGAAACTATGATGAAACTATGATTCTTATATTAATTTTTCATTTCTTGCATGCCAAAAAGTACAAGAGCCAAAAGACTCTCAAATCTTTACACTTAAGGAAGGAAATTTTGATCTCAACTGTTTTCTTTTATTTTCATAACTTGCTAATTATTACTGGCAGTGCACTCATTTGAAAAAAAAAATATATTACTTCAATTTTTAATGTGCAATTTCTCAGATTTTATATAACAATGTAAAGTTGACATGGGATAATGAAGTACAGTTTTTACCAGTGAGGAGATCTGTTTTAAGATAACTTCCAAACACTTCAGGCATGAGGAAAATAATTCAAAAAAAATCTTCACCAAACTAAATTTAACATACATGTATTCCATATACTAACATTGTCCCTGCTGTATGCCTTAGTATGATCCAAATTTCCAACACAGGAACTATTTATACCATTTTCTAGTGTGTCCATATCTTCTTAAATTGGAAGAAATATGTTTAGAAAAGAAATCTGATCTACTAGAACATATAATGGGGATAGATTAACTTCAATTATGTTACTTGAAATAAAATATCCATTATATAATGGATAAAATATCCATTATATTAAGTTACTGGCTGGCAAGCATTAAATCAAATATAGACTTCTACATACTCCGTATCTGTAGTAAAGTATTATAACATATTAAACAGATCCTTATTTTAAAATCTCTTTCCAACACAGGACCAATCATTTATGAACTGCCTCACACAAGCTAGTTGGGAGTTATGAGGAACCCTGTCTTTTTTGATACTGTATTCTGAGCTTTTCCAGTTGCTCCACGCACTGCGTCTGGGCCAGCTTCAGTGTTCGGTTCTCCTCTGTCAGTTCTGCATATTCCTTAGCCAGCTGAGCAGCATCCATGCTTTCTTTTTCCACTTGTTCCAGCCTGGCAATCAGCTCCTTTCTAATGATTATGAAAAAAACCCCAAATATTAAAAATGGCAGCATGCAAAAATTTGTCATCATGTGTTAGGTCAAAGCTGGACTGTAGGCTGTTAACATGGTATTACCTCAGCTCGTGTGAAACAAGGGCCTAGAAAATTAATTTGTTAGAGTCCTCTTTTTTCCATTAAAAGATGAAGCTTCCAAAATCGCTGATAGGTTTGCTGTTCAGTGACCAAATCTGCAAAATGCTGGTTTCAAGTATTTGTATTTAGGGCTATTCAACCTGGAGAATAGAAGGTTTCAGGGAGACCTTAGAGGCCCTACCAGTACCAAAAGGGGCTCCAAAAGAGCTGGAGAGGGACTCTTCACAAGGGTGACAGGACAAGAGAATGGCTTTAAACTGAAAGAGGGCAGGGTTAGATTGGATATTGGGAAGAAATTCTTCCGTGTGAGGATGGTGAGACACTGCACAGGTTGACCAGAGAAGCTGTGGCTGTGACATCCCTGGAATTGTCCAAAGCTGGGTTGAATGAGGCTTGAAGCAACCTGGTCTAGTGGAAAGTGTCCCTGCCCATGGCAGTGGTTTGGAACTAGATGATCTTTAAGGTCCATCACAATCCAAACCATCCTATAATTGTATAATTCTGTGATCTCTGACTTCAGTAAATGTTGAACATGTAATTCATGGTGGTGAATGAAGTTCCTGGAGATTGCTTGCTAATACTTTACCACAAGAATAACAATATATTTTTCTCTCAATATCAAATATAATTGAAAGAGTGCAAAATTTTTTGTTCAGTTAGTTAGATTTATTAGTAAATTCTGTGAAGTGCACCTGGTTTCCTTTCTCTACTACAGATGATTCTAGTAGATACTAGGCACATGAATCTGAACTACATATATTGCTTCTATAATATGTTTAGGCTCCAACCTTAGCCCTACTACTGAGGCAGAGTGATAGACCTGCAAACCTGACGCCTCTTGGTCCTCTTAAGAGCTGTGGCTTCTTCTGGATGGAGTAACACAGTGCCCTGTATTCCCAGAGCTGGCCAGGAGCTGGAGTCTCCTGTATAGTGTCAACTGAAATTACCTCAGCACAAGTGAAGATAAAAGAGGTCTTAAAACACACTGAAGGCATGAGTAACTCACAGGGTTAGTGAATTACTAATTGTTCTCCACTTAAGTCATCCAGCAGGCTAGCCTGGCCTCTGGGGTTTTTTCCCTTTAAGTCAAAAATTCACCCCTGCTACAGGAAGTCTCTTCTAAAGGGTTCTTAGTTCTTTTGATCATTCTATCTCAGAGATTAGTTAATCTTTAACGGTTCATGGCCCTGTGACTTTATTTCTCAGTCATATCAAAACAATGCTTGTAGATCACCAGTGGGAAGATGTTAGTACCTTCAAAGTGGGTAGCTTTTGCTGTGGTCCTTAAAGGAGCCTTCTTGTCAGGCTAGACCTGTACTTTCAGACAGGAAATTCCTACAGATCTGGAATTCCATTCCCACAGGTCAGAGTATTCATGAAAAGATAACATTTCTGTATTTGCTGATCACTTACGTTGCTTGTAGCTGCAAAGCTACCACTTACAGCAGCAAAAGTGTAAGCACACGGGTTTTGAAAAACACTTCTGTCTGGGCTTCTTTTAGGGTCAGTTTGACCTTCCTCTGTCTTTACTGCAGCTTTCAGTGATAGCAGAGTTTGCCCACGGTTTACAGTCACAATTACGTAAGTTCAAGGAGTCACAAAGTCAGAAGAGATTCTTGACACAGCCATTTCTCTCAAATGTGCTTCCCGTTGAAAAAAAAAAGAGTTAGCAGCCGTTACAGGAAGTTTAAATCATCCTAGAGAGGCAGTATATAGGCATCTTCCTACAGCTAAATATGTTGGCTTTGTTTTATACCGCTGAGGTAATGCAGAGCAGCTATGCTGCAGAAAAGCTTCTTTCTCTTTCCTTTCACCAGGTGAAAGGTGTGTTCAATCAAGCCTTTGAGGGAAAACATCAAGAGCCTATTTTAGCTCAGTAAAATTCTGTTTATATTTGTCACAAAATAGTCGTAAAATTTTTAGAAGCCGCAAGCCATTAACAGGTTTATTTCTCTTTGGTTGGGCCATGATAGATCAACAAATTTTCAAAGGGGCCAAGATGATTCTGCTAGACAGCTCCTATTAATGAGACAGAGATCATGGAGGAGTATTTTAGAGAGTGAAAAATGCATTTAGGGACAATGAGGTTTTACAAGTCTTTAATCACTTCAATCTCTCAAGGGCCTTCTCTGGAAGACTTTTGTTTCTGGAGACCAAGAGGGAGTGTCAGCAATATTTCTTTGCAATTATTCTCTGGTGCAGTGCTGGACTGAAGGATTAAATTAAGCTCTTTCAAATTACAGACTGTTAAAACAGAAGTGTCCAAAGAAATGAACTCAGAATCATTCTTCCTTACTTTTCGTACACTTATGAGCTTCTTAAAGGGAGATGCAGTGAACACACTAATAAGTAATCAGCATCTTCAAAGCAGACAAATCTTTTCTGCGGGGACTTCTAGTACTTGAAAAAGAATGGTACTAACTACTCTGTTTGAACTGGAGCCAGGAGTGGCACAGACAGACAACGTGCGAACTAGGACAACCCTGTTAATGAATGTCAGTCCTGATTTGATAAGATGAGACTTTGTGCAGGCATGGCATTCATGCTGCTTTTCAGTAATATTCAAGCAACACAGATAACTTTTTCCCCTCTGGGACTTACCTTTGCTGTTAAACAAATTATAAATGTGCTAAAATAAAAATATACTCATTGCTGTAGTCCATACTCTAGGACCTCCCTCATAGAAAGCAGTTTCCTTGCACTGATTCTGTGATCCGGTAGTACTATGTGGGCAGAAAAGGGCAATTCAGCCATCTTTCCTGTGTTTCCTGTTTGGGACAGTGTCTCCAGTTGTCTCCCAGTACGTTGGAGGCAAACAGCTGTCCAAATAACTAATTTCCAGTAAATTGCCAAGTAGCTACTTGTGTGGCTCCCTGTGTGTATGGCTGTACATATGTGTTATTGATTGACTACTCATGAGATTGTGCTGGAAGTCTGATAGATGCTACAGGCTGGATATTAGAAAAAGGTTCCTCACCCAGAGGGTGGCTGAGTGCTGGAAGAGGCTCCCCAGGAAAGCGGTCACAGCACCAAGCCTGACAGAGTTCAAGAAACGCTTGGACGATACTCTCAGACACATGGTGTGACTCTTGGGGATGGTCCTGCGCAGGGCCAGGAGTTGGACTCGATGATCCTCATGGGTCCCTTCCAACTCAGCCTATTCTGTGATTCTGTGGTAAAATTGCCCACTTCTGAGTCAGCAGAACCTACTTATTCCCTTCCCATCAGGATCAACACCTGTTTACAGGGTAGGGTGAAGTTTCAGGCAAATACTGTCAGCCTGCCACAGAACTAAAATTAGAGTACTGGGGAATTGCTAAATGTTATGAATGGTCTAGCTTACGAAGCTCACAAAAGGATGAGGACAGTAACATTTTCTTCTGATCTAATCTGGGATTTGAACTTAGCTTCCAGAGGTTAAAGAACACCATACTAAGCTCTTGCACCATGTAGCCTTTGTTATGGATGCTTAATAAATAGGTCTAGCACTGTGTAATCTGTGTTTTCTGTTAATGGCTATCCCAAGTTTAAATATTAACAGCATTGATAAGGTATTTTCTAAACTAGTGCTGAGGTACTCAAAGCTTTGAGACAATCTGTAATGTACACTCTAAGTGTTCTTTTTTGGGGAGGGATTTGTGAGGGAAGGGAGCCTGCCAGAGCAGGAGAAAAACAGAGCATGGTCTCAGGGAAATTATTTCTCTTGGCCTTAATGACTGACCATGCAGACAACAGAGCTCCTTAACACTAATATTCACAATGAATAAATACCAAGAAAAGTGACAGACTAAGCAGATAAATCTGTCTGGAGATGAGTGTATTTAAAGATGGACTGGACACAAGGAAAACAGCTTCCAGAGTACAAAGAGTCAGATTTGTCTTTCCCCAGTTGTGAACAATGTGTTCAGGATCATGCATCTGTGGCACCACACATTTCTTCACAGCTAACATGTGCCTGTGTTCTGGTGGTCATAAGATCATTTTCATTTCTCACATTTGACATGGCTTTCACATTAGGAGGAATCATGAGACCCTGTAAGGTAATCGCTGTCTGAGAAGACTGCCCTTGTGTGTTTAAAGCCTACTAATCGATTTTTAAAACAACGAGACAGCCTGTTTTAATTTAAATGAAAATATATCCAGATGACAACACATAAAAGGTCATAGAATCAGAGAATGGTTTGGTTTGGAAGGCACCTTAAATATCATTCAATTCCAACACCCCTGCCATGGGCAGTGACACTTTCCACTAGACCTGGAAGTCTCTCTTTGTGTTAGGAAAGCTGTAATTTAATTTCCACTATTTGGCAAGTAACATATATTTTGCATACACATGATGATGAAAAATCAGGTCTAGAATGGGAAAATTATTGAGCTAAAAGGTTGCCTTTAAGGTTTATGCTAATTTTTTTCTGCAGTACCTGGAAGTCTGAAGACTGCTTGTCTTAGCAATGTTGGAAAGACAGTCTGGAAATAGTGTACCTGGAGAAACTATCTGGGCTGGAAACCTTAAAACAGTCTTATGGTCATGAGAGCATGCTAAAGTATATGAAAGGCTTCCACAAAATTAAGCAGACATCTCCACTGCATGTCATTTGCCAAGAAGGCCAATGGCATCCTGGCCTGTATCAGCAATAGCGTGGCCAGCAGGACCAGGGCAGTGACTGTCCCCCTGTACCTGGCACTGGTGAGGCCAACCCTCAAATCCTGCATTCGTTCAGTTCTGGGCCACTCACTGCTAGAATGACATTGTAGTGCTGGAGGTGTCCGGAGAAGGGCAATGGAGCTGGGGAAGGGTCTGGAGCACAAGTCTTGTAACTGGAGCAGCTGAGGGAGCTGGGGGTGTTTAATCTGAAGAAAAAGAGGCTCAGAGGATATCTTCATGCTTTCTACAACTACCTGAAATGAGATTGTAGCCAGGGGGAGGTCAGACTCTTCTGCCAGGTAACAAGGATGAGAGGAAACGGCCTCAAATTGTGCCAGGGGAAGTTAAGATTAGATTTAGGAAAAACTTTTTCTGGAGAGGGTTGTCAAGCACTGGAATGGGCTGTTCAGGGAACTGGTGGAGTCACCATCCCTGGAGGTGTTAAAAAAACACGTAGATGTGGCACTTGAGGACACAGTTTAATGGCAAACATGGTGGTGGTGCTGGATTGATGGTTGGACTTGATGATACTAAAGGTCTTTTCCAACCTTAATGATTCTATGATTCTATGTCTACTGTGACATGTGCAAAAGAAGAAAAGAAATCATATTCATGGCAAAGAGAAGGAGTGAACCTAAACCAGGTGGTGATCAAATGATATTTTCTGAAGAGTTATATTAGAATTGTCTGGGGGAGGAAAAAGCGATAACCAGCCAGTGCTAAGAATATAAGATACAGCTAGCAACCATGGCAACTCTAATATTTAACTACATAATCCAGGGTCATTATCTAGTAATAGCAATATAACAAGTGCTCAAAATAACCAACCATCCCACCCCTTTCACCCAAACTTAGATACCCCAAAACATCTGTTATGGAAATACATGTGTGTTTCTGGAACATAAATTAAATTACATTCTGTGCCCTAAATGTGGTGTGCTCTCGCTTCCACACCCTTTTCTTTATTTTCAATCATGTCTCCCATTCCACAGTGATTTTTTCCCTTGTACTACATATTGCTGGCATAAATGGGAAGAGTTTGAGTGAAGAGAGCAACCAAAGCTATGATTATATTAGCAAAAAAATCTACTCAGTCTTCTTCTAAATTCTTTCAATTTCTTCCTTCCTTTTTTGGTCTTCTTCTTTTGTAACTTATTTTACCCTTCTTATTTGCTTTTTTACTTTTATTTTCCCTTTTTTGAAACTGCAGCCTCTCTTTCTCTCTCACATTTCCCCTCTTCCTGTGAAATAGTTGTCATCTTCTGTCCCACTCCCAGCCTAGTACATTCTTTCACCATCTACATTGCATACAAGACAAGGGGCAAATAAATTCTGTTCTTGCCTTGATGAAAAGCAACCCTCCTCACATCAATGACTTTTTATACTTTGGCCATACTTGATGCTCACAATTCAGTGAGAGAAAAGTCAAGCTAAGCCTTTGAAAAGTTGTAAAAGTATAAATGGTTTCGACTCTTTTAAATCAATGTTTTCCAATTTTCTATTTCTTAAAGACACCTCCTTTAGAAATATACCTGCATATATTATTCCATGTATAAAGGTGACACTGAAGTTTGGAGGCTGGAACAAAAATTGTTTAAAGTAGAATTAACTTAATTACATTTCTTTTTACTAAAAAGCTCTAATACTACTATGGATATTTATACCAGGTTAGCTTAACATTATTTCTTCCTCCTAGCCAACAAATAGAAAATATTTGCTCAATCCATTGTCTGGTTTTTTTCCTGTCAGTCATAGCCTTCAGTATTCCGTGTGCAGTGTTCTGTCAGTAGGCACCACAGATGCAGACACTGCCAGATGGGATTTGCCATTGTGATGACACAGGTGAGTTACCTGTGGAGAGAAGTTGGGAGCACTGGCAGGGGTATCATCCAACAGAACTTGTGGTTGCATTTGGCAAAAATGTACAGTGAACAACACTATAAAGTTGTTTGTTCCCATTAAAAGGGATGAAACTCGATCATTTTATCAAAATAGTATTTAAGAGAAATAGACAATAGATAACAGGTGCATTAGGCACCTGTGGATCTTTATTTCCATACATTCAAATTCAAACGTAGAAGAAGATAAAGACACCCACAAAAGGGGCAAATTTCAAAAAAGCTGCAAATGCCATCTTTTCCGTTTGAATTAGATTTGATTGAATTGATTAGAACTGCTTTTGAAGCTCCAAGCTTGTCCATCTCATCAGACTTTTTAGAAAAGTCAAAGCATCCATTCTAAGAATGGAATACTCAACTCTTCCAGTGGTGGGGCAACCAGAGCTTTTCTGGGCAATTTGTGCCAGTGCCTCAACACCCTCACAAGGGAAAAATTTCTTCCTACTATCTAATCTAAACCTATCCTCTGTCAGTTTAAAGCCATTCTCCCTTGTCCTATCTCTACATATCCTTTTAAATAGTCTCTCTCCATCTTTCTTGTAGGCTCCCTTCAGGTACTGAAATGCTGCAATTACAACAACTGTGCTCAGGTTTGTAAGCTTACCTGTGTGTAAAAGTATATGTGTCCTAATAACTCTCTAATCCCCCTTCCAGTTTTAACCAAACTTCGTGCAGTTAAGAGGTCCCAGTTAGTTTCTGGAAGGTTTAATAAAAACAGACTGCTACAGAAAGAATTGTTACTTCAGTGGGGAAAGGCAGTCTCATGAGACCTTCTCCAAAATACTACAAAATGGACAATCTACCTGGAGGGAGAAGCTATAAACAGTTCACATTTGGAGAAAAAAAAATCTTCAGTTGGCACTTGCAGCTTGTTAAACCTCAAAATCAAGCAACCAGTGCACCAACCTGTAGGAAATTAAACATCTTTGATCCCAGCGCTCTAGGACCACTTCTTAACATGGGCAGTGGTGAGAGGTGCTGCACTGACATTTGTGATGTTTAGGCATTTCACAGCTATACAGCATGTGAACACAAGTCCACAAATATGTAATTGGAAGGCACATAAGAATCACAGTAATAGAATTCCATTTGTTGCCTTATTCAGCCACTCAACATATGTCTACTGGGGCACGGAATCCACAGAACAGGTTCGGCAAAGGTAGCAGTGGTGGAAGCATCCTGACATTGTTCCACTGTTGACATCCACTGGTGAAATGAAATAAAATGCCAGCCTGAAGCCCATTAATTCATCCAGGGTAACCACTGCAGAGAGGCTGACATCTGGGCTCAGAAGTTGATTAGGACAGTTGTGAGTTCTGGTAAACAATTTTGTGCATGCCCTTCTCAGGAAGCAAATTATTTCTAATTCAGCTAGTACCACAGACTCCATAGATTAAAAGATTGCATTCAAACAGGATATTTTTTTCACTTAAGAAAGTGCAAAAATAATAACATAAATGTCTATGGTTATTATAATAATAATATAAATGTCTAGTTTTTAGAGGCTCCAAGCATACTTCATAAATAGGCATAACTGATTTGAGGATGTGTCAGTAATAATAATGGATTTATATCAGTAGACTCCAAAATCCAAATGATCCAAATGATCTAAGGCTACCTTTTGGGTTTATACATCTAAAGTCAAGTACTTAAATGACCATTTAATATTTTATATTCTATTTGGATTTTCAGAATAGAAAAAGACACATGGGTTTCCACCGAATTCGCTTGATTACTAAATACGTATGTAAGCAGCTTATATTAGACAACCAAATTTGACAAATCATTGCAAAATTATTTGAACTAATTATCTTTTCCTCATCTTTCCAAACACACCAATTACATTTGATGGGTCATGTTCAATGAATGATGAATCAAATGCCAACACTGCATTTTCATGCATTTTTCCATGCAGGGACAGTGCAGTGTTAATCTCTTCTGGCTATTTTTTCTTCTCTTTTAACTTTTGTGTCAGTTTGTCAGAATCTGAGTGCCACACAGATCCTACAGTGGAAGGGCATTTGTAGTGGGAAACCTCAAGTAGCTCTGACACGTTAAGCCAAATGTAACTATATTGTGTCTGTAGCCATCAACCCTGATAAAGACATCTCACTTTCTTACCCTGAATAGTTTGGATTCAGGGAGTTCTTTGGCTATCTTGTAAGAATACAGGATTTCAACAGTTTCCCTCCCATCAGCTTGATTCTAAGATTCCCATGGATGCAAACTTGGCTGAACTTCAAGGTCAGCTGGGTAGGGATTTCACTACTCACCTTCTTTCGTCTCTCTGAATTTTTTTTTTTTAGGTTTCTTGTGGAAAGGGACCGAGACCCACAGAGTGCACTTTGCCATTTAATAGTCATGCAAAAGATGACAGGGCTGTGAGTACAGGCCACAGACAAGAAAAAACGTCTCCAACTTATGCACTTTGCATACAAACACCTAAAATGCCAATGTGCATTGAGCCAATGTGTACAGAAACAGGGCAACTCACAGAAACACATCTACCAATACTGTCAAGCACTCCAAGCCTAACTGAGGATCTGTTACATTTGTTGTTAAAATGTCTAATGTTAAATTAAAAAAAAATTCCCTAACATCAAAAAGGAGACTTGCACCAGTTGAACTGGACTGTTATGTGACCTGGAATCTGTCAGTGAAGGTTTGAAGGGACGCACACATAGGTTAGGGTCCAGAACTATGACAGCTCTTAGTGGGTCCAGTTGATCCTATGGAGCAATGGCCTACTTGTACTGTGACTGTCAGGTAGAGGTATGGAACAGAATCATAGAGTCAAAAGAATGATAGAATGGTTTGGGCTGGAAGGGACCCCAAAGATCATCCAGTTACAATCCCCCTGCCATGGGAGGGACACCTTCTACTAAACCAGCTTGTTCAGAGCCCCATCCAACCTGATCTTGAACACTTCCAGGGATGGAGCAACCTGTGGCAGTGCCTCATCACCCTCACAGGGAAGAACTTTTTCCTAATATCCCATGCACCTAATACCCTAACCTTGACCTCTGTCAGTTTAAAGCCATTCTCCCTTTTCCTATCTCTTGTAAATAGTCTATCTCCATCTCTCTTATAAACTCCCTTCAGGTACTGGAAGGCTGCAATTAAAAGGTGTGTGTGTATATAAGTATATACATATGTGAGTATATATGTATATGAGTTTAAGGTCAGAAAATATTATGTGAAAACCTCATGCTTAAAACAGGATTTTACAAAGAGATTATACAACAGTAAATCCTTTGGGAAATTTACTCACTTTCTTTCTTCCAGCAGAGCAATTTCTTTCTTGACTTCATGGTACTCTTCTGCTATTTTGCAGTGCTGTTTATACACCTGCATAGATTCCTTAGACTCGTGACAAGGAGGCAGAGGCTTTAAGAAAAAGAAGAAGAAAAATGCACTGTTTTAGAATGAAATATTAGTTTAAAAATACATATTTTAAAGATAAAATATTTATCTTAATTCCTGTGAGAATTTTTTCCCCTAACTGCAGGATATTGCCAACTATTCCTAGTGACGACCTTTCATGGAAGGAAAAAAACCAAAAACGATCCCACTTCCCTGCATAAGAATATGCATGTAAACCTTCAAACCTTGTAACAATTTTCAGAACTCTCCTTGTCAGTTTTGCAAAGTATTCCTAAAGATTGATCAAAGAAAGATTTCTCCCTTACATCCCTCTTTTTCAGCTACAGTGATACATGGATGCTAAAGCTGATGCATTGGTCAGACCCATAACACACAGGAGCGTCTTTTCACTGCAGAAACTACAGCTCTGAGCAGAAGGAGATTTTGAGTGCAAACAAGCTCCTATTCTCCAGTTGTGCAAGATGAGAACAAAACACATGAAAAGACGTAGACTAAACGGTCTTTTTATTCCTAAATGCAATGCTTATTCCAGTTTATTCCTAAATAGGACAGGGCTGTGAATTGGGACACTGGGGTTGATTCTGCTGGACTCAACAGAAGTTAATCTGCTGACTCCAGTGCAGCCAAGATTTTATGATGGGTTCTATCCCAGCAATATCTCAAGCTGTAAACAGCTTGCTCAAGATAATACCATTTCTCTGCATCTCTATTTCCTGTAGAAGAAGGGCATATGTTTACTTAGTAGAATGATTATGAGAGTTAAGTCAGCTTATTTGCAAAGTGTTTTACATTTTCATGTAAAGCACAGGTGAGATTGATCATAGAAGGATGATGGCAATCAAAAAAAGAAAAATCAGATTAAGAAAGAGACACATTGAAGACAAAAGCATTATACCTCCTATCCTAAGTACTGGCACCATTGTCACAAAATTTTAACTTTTTTCTAATGCACACTGAATGTAATAAATATGGCAAGTAAACCCACTCAGGGTTAGAACTCCTCATGTGAATTTCAGTTGAGACCTTGAAAATACATTTTTGGTTAAATGTAGGTACTTTTTGTTCCTTAAAAAGAAAACTGCTTAATTCAGGCTTATCACATTTTGGCTATAACGCTTTCAGGAAGTACTTCTAAGTTATTAGCCATGAATCTGTTGACTGTAAATGAACTCCAAATAGCATCCTTGAGCCACCTGTTTGAAGCAAAAGGAAACACTTAAAATAGTTCCTTTACTGCCCAGTTAAAGAGCATCCAATTGCCTTTCACAATATTAGTAGATTATTTTACATTTCTTGCTGTCCTACTTTGACTCTTTGCTGTAGCATAATATTTCTTTAATGACATTTTATTAGGAAAAGAAAAGCACAAGTTATCAGACTTTTCCTATTTATGATCTTCTAATCCTTCTTCTTAATCTAAACTGGGAATTTTTTCAAAGATTGAAAACACTTTTATCCAGGAGACAGGGTAAGTTGGTTCAGATGTAACCCAATGCACAGATGTAGGTAATGTAAGGATCTTGTGAGTACTTTTAGACAGTATGTGATTCCTCACTGAAATTTTAACACTCATTTCCCATTTTCTAAATGCAAAAATGCTGCAGAAGAATTGTTTCACAGGACATTCTCTCTGATCTTGGAGATTTCTGGAACCCAGGGAAAGGGCAGCCCATCACTTGATGAATCTAATCCCTAGGAAAGGGCTTTTAATTGCATTTCAATGTGGATGAGCAATAGCACCATTCATACAGCCACCCAAATAATAAGCATAAATTTAACAAGACAGAATATAGAAGTCTCAGTGCTCTAATCCAAGAATGCAAGGATGAGCCAAAGTAGCATCTCTGGTATCTGCCAGAGATCAGCCATCAACAAATGCATCACAATAAAAAAATTTTGGACGGTACCAAAAGGAAAGTCCCCAAACAGTGATACTTCAAAAGAAAATCCAACCAAACCAAACCAACAAAAAATCACATTGGATTTGCTTCCAACTTAGTTTCTGCTAATCTAGCTGGTTTAAACAGTTTAAAAATTAAAACAGTGTTCAGTTTCTATATTCCAGCTTCCCACTCAAAAGATATATATAGAGAGCTAAAAATTATCCAGTCATGCTGAAACTTAGTATCTAAGTTTCACTTAGAACCAGTTGCTGATTTACAACCCCCTTCCTACCATTGTCCTCTTAAGTGACATTTTTTCTTACAATGATATTTTAGCACTTAAAATAAACTTACAACAAATAATACAATCAGTTTACTAATGTTCTGTTCATACAATTCTTTTCTGATGGTATTAAGAACTATATAAAGAACTTTTTTAGTGTATTTTTCTTTAAAACATAGATTTGATTATGTTTTCATATGACTAGGTAGAATCATATAATTGAATCATATAATAGAATGGTTTGAGTTGGAAGGAACCTTAAAGATCATCCAGTTCCAATCCCCTGCCATGGGCAGGGACACCTTCCACTAGACCAGGTTGCCTCCAGTGCCATCCAACTTGTAACTGAACACTTCCAGGGATGGGGCAGCCAGGACTGGACAACTTGCAATTTGAAAATTTCTACGAAAGGATTTGGTGATAGTATTTGGTGATAGATGCCCATGAGTAATTTCTGGCTAGTAGGATATTAAACTGGCTAATGCATTCATTATTTAACAAACACCTCTATTGCAATCACATGAAATGGAGAGATACGAGTCTCCATCCACCTAGAATGACTTTTTTGAATGCATGAGGCCAGACCATGGAGAGTGTTGCAGATGCTACTCTGATGGTATTCCCCGAAGTTTGTATACTATTTTTTTGGTGAGAGTTTGCTACTTTATCCAGGTAACTAATTTCAACAGGCCTTAATAAAGTGCAGTTTGCAGTATGTACTTTTTTTCACCCAGAAGCAAACAGCCATACTTTAATTTCTTCTTAGGACAGGCCAAGCTTGATACTTCATGAAGTATCTTGCCTGTCCATAAACTAATACACTTAAAAGCATACCTGCTAGAGAAGTCAAAAAACATCCCTGCCAAAGAAGGTTACATTTAATGGCAACAGTTGCTACTTTTAATCCTGTTTATTTCAGGCTTCAGTGTCATCCACCCTCATTTTTCTATGCTGGCAAGATATGCACATGCAGAATCTCTGATTTTGTTCACAAAGTTAGCACAAAAGCTGCAGCTTTAAGTTATACTAGTGATCTATCCTATTATGCCTGATTGTCAAAAAGGTCTGATTTTTCCTTTGTTGAATAACTTGCTGTAACACTGAGAAATGGTCTACAGGATCCAGCAAGTAGACATTAAGAGATCTTTTAGAGACTATTCTATAACTGCACATATATATGTACATCTTTACAAGACATATAAACTGTTCATTTAGACTTTTGTTTGGAATCCAGATATGAAGGATATTGGAAGATGACATGCAAATGCTGTTCATGAAGAAATAGAAAGAGTAGTTCTGCAGGCTTCTTAAGGCAGGTTGAAGGAGCTGTTCTAAATAAAATCTTTGCTGGGGGACACAGAATGACAGTTTTCAGGTTTAGGGTTTTTTTCTCTTCACTCACATAACAAGGTATGTTTTGCCCTGCCATGTGAATATCAGCATTCCATATCCACAAAGGCTGTGTAGTTGACAATGTCAATCAAATGTTCAAAAACTTTGAAGCAGATTGTTTTTTAATTCACCATAGTTTGTTTGCGTTTACTTTTTGACTCAACTGTGAAAAATAAAATTAAAATTTTCTCCTGAAAATGTTGGAGTTTCAAGAAAAAATTGTATCAGGCAGTTTTACCAGCTCATGTGAACTTGTCTAGAAAGCAGTCTTTACCACTAATTAAAGTCTAATTAAGTCCAATTAAAGAGTGGTATCTCGCTTTTTGTAAATTTGATAACCTTCATCTAAACTCTTGTGCAAAACTGGAAAGTTCAGTGCCAATATTTTGCATGGTGGACTATGTTCATTATGCAGCCTTGTGTACTCTTCCATGATGGAAAACCCCACATTACTCCCAGCAAAAACTAGCACATTGCAGCTACTTTTTGTTGTGCAAGTGGAACTCTTCAACCAGTTTCAGATACCTGTCTGGATATATCTTGTCTAGTCTAGTTTTACTATGAACATAAGCAGCTCTCTTTCTTCTGAACAATTCAGGTCAACTGGATAAGAGCAACAGAGAGTTTTGCTCTCCTTTGCTGAGACATTTTCCATTCTTTTCTAACTTGGGGATGATGTTCTGAATTTGTGAACATCCATGTCTTACATAACCTAAGACCATAGTTATTACAGCAGCATTACAGGAAACTTTTCAAGTTCATATCTAATTACAGAGTACCACAGTACTCTAGGAATACTTATGGAAATTAATATTAAAAATATTAGTAAATCTTTAAAAAATACATCATCCTCTTTAAAAATGCAGTATACTTTTAAGCTTTCTAAAATAATTTTGTGTGTCTAACAAGAATCTTGGCATTCAGTAGAATCAATTCAAGTTCCAGAGTAAACAAGGTTTCTGCTAAATGCTTATATCATGCAAAACAAACTTTCATAACATTTTCACTGCTTCTTTCATATAAGCATTTGCCACTAAAGCATGAAAAACTATCCTGTGGCTTAGAAAACTGATATTATAAGTGGTTGGAGCTTTTTCTCTGTTGCAGCAAGTTTATTTAACTACGTTAATCTCCACAGATTTGTACAAAAATACAAAATATGACATAAATGCCTCTCAAGCTCACAATTTCATGAGAAGAGATCACAGAATCATAGAATAATAGAATCATAGAATTGTTTTGGGTTGGAAGGGACCTTAAAGATCATCTTGTTCCAACCCCCCTGCCATGGGCAGGGACACCCTCCCCTAGGTCAGATTTCTCAGAGCCCCATCCAACCAGGCCTTGAATGATAAAGAATTACAGAACCCCCTGTCCATCCATATGTGACTTGTATTCTTCCCTCTTCAGGATCAAACTCCCATCTGGAATAAAGACTTTGATGGAGAATAGGGAGATGAACTGAGCAAGTCACAGGAAGTGCTGGAACTGGACAGGCAACACACAGGACATAGCAATGCAGGTACTTAACTCTAGATACTTTCCTCTGCATTCAGTGACATGAACAACAAGGCCTTAGATGCTGATGTAGGTGCCTAAATATAGCTGACAACCCACAGTGGAGTGTCTATCAGAGGGGCCACCACCCACGCTGTGGATAATCAAGGAAGTGCCTTCCAAGGACCAGTCCAGCTTTTACACAAGGAAATGGTTAAAGTTTCCCAATGACAAAGTGACAAGTGTAGCCAGCCTACCCTCACTGCACTACCCACCACACGACACACACAGGTGGGGGAAATAACAGAAGCCCAAATAAGCATGTTTTATCCTCATTCAAAGTATTGCTGGTCAGTGGGAAGAGAATAATTTCCAGTACTGCAAACAAAAGCAAGAAGTTTATTAATATGTGTTTCATTTCTCTGATAACTTAACAGGAATTTCTTTATATTTTTTTTTTAAATAATAAAGCTGCAAAAGAGACATACTGCTTAAGAGCTTAAGAGCTTAAACTGCTCCGTTCTCATATGTAGGGCTTTTGTGTCTAGTTGACCATAAAGCAATTTTGATTTAGGTTAAAAAAAAAAAAGAGAGATAGTAGTTGAGTTATTTTCTTACAGATTGCTTCTTGGAATGTGTTCCTCTCAGTGCAGTAGAAAAATGTAACATTCAAAGAGGTAATTTGAAAATAAAACATTTTTAGTCTGAACCTGCCTAGTACATCAGAAGACACAGACTGATCGTTTTTATTCTTCAGAAAGAAGCTGTAACTAGGACTGTCCTTTAGTAAGAGTCCTTATAGAGAATTATTTGCTAAGTTTCCTAGAAAGACCTTCTCTCCAGCCAGTCCTACCTCTACCTCTGTAGAGCCAGTGCTGGTACTTGGACAGCAGGGTTTGTTACCCTCCCATGAGGAGGCTGCACTGAACTTTGCCCTGCCCACCTCAGATAGTGGTGCCCAGGTATGGTAGAATTGTGCCAGGAAAAGTGGGAACACTAGGTAATTCTGCTCAAATAGCCAAGCTGTCTGCCAGGGCCCAACATAGGAGGACAAGGGCTTGAAACCTAAACCAGAGGTGCAAATTGCTGGGTACTCAGGCTGTGGTTGCTGCCTACATGCATAGAATTCCAAGTGACTCAGTGAACCTACATAGCTCTCAAGCTGCTTTCAAAATCCAGCCTGAAGATCAGCTAATTTGGGCTTTTATTTTGTTTGTTTGTTTTTAAAACAGGTTTCAAAATTTTCCTTTGTATGTTTGAAACCTGGAAAATTACTATTTTTTTTATATTGTCTATTATTATAATGCCACCTAACCTGCATTTATACTTTGCTTCTTTAAATAAAATATAAATGCTTTTAGCTGTATGTATGGCATGGTGATGAAAATCTTGTGGCTTTAGATGCCATATTTTTATTACAAAAACATGTACCAGCATTCTTGCAAATTCAAGCATTTCAGGTTCTTTACTTTCAGTTCAGTGCTTCAGCTATGAAACATTATTGCTCTCTGAACTCTTCTGAGGGGAAAAAAAAGCCAATCATCTTTGTTGCACTGGAAGGTCAGCAGAATAAAGAGGTCAGTATCCTATCCTGTTCCTTTCACCCCAAATCTTAAGCTGTTATTCATTCCTTTAATCATTCCTAGTTATGCCTAAGGAACCTGCCCATATTCTCAGGGTGAGAGCAATAGAGCAAGAGGAGTCTCTGTCATTCCTTTTGCAGTCATTCTTTTGATTAGAACAGTAGGAGAGAATAGTTGAAGTCAGGAGCCCTCCCGTGTTGTCTCACTAGTTGATGGATACAGGAAAGATGACATTATTGGACAAGCATGGTCTGCTAATGCCTTTCTCAATTTACACCCAGGAAGCAACTGCCTTCATAGTGAAATATCAGAGGAAGTCTAAATGCTCCTGGGAAAACAGATGATCTGAAGTACTTTAAAACAGCCAACAAACACTTCAGAATTTCCACAAAGAAAAGTGAAATAATTCCTGGATGTGGAACTGGCTCTGTGCCTGGTGAACCACGGAGCTGTCATCAACTGCTCATTGTCCAGTGTATCTGGGCTCCATCATCCTGTGCTGACAAATCAGTCTGATCACAAAAGGACTCATCACTTTTATCCCAGGCTGTCTGCAGACACCTGCCAGGGCAATCATTAGGGTTCCTGACTATGTAGCATGAACTGCAGTTACTTTGATGAGGCTCTCATCAATCCTGATGACTAGCTTTATTTATCTAGAATTAAAGGTAAAACATCACTACAAAATACATCTTCTCTTGGAAAGCTTCAGAGAAAGCTAATGACATCAGTCATAGCACAGCCTGCAGGCATGAGAATATAATACCTGGCTCATTCCTTCCCCTGTCAAACACACAAGAACTCTCTTCATTGAGTGCAACAGCATGCCCTGCATTTTACACAGGAATTGTATAAAAAAATCTTAAAAGCAGGTGAGATTGTTGCAATAGTAATTTCCCTGCAATTGGATTAAAAATGTCAAACCAATTTTCTGCAGATCTTGAAAAGACAGTGTTTTCTTCTGTGGATATATACAGCCTTATTAAATATCAATAGGTTAGAAAAGCACCATTGAAAACTTCCACCTTAGTATAACAACCAGAGGCTTTATATCATAACAAATATAGTGACTGTAAAATAAGTTGTCATAACAAAAAAAACCCGTTTACCTGCAGCTGCTGATCTAGTTCTGGAAATGCCAAAGACAAGTTTTCAGGGGAAGCATCATCTAAAAGGTAAACATGATGTTAAAAGTCAATGTCTACCAAAAAGGGCATTTCAAATAATCTATCTGATGATGTTCTATATTGCATATATTGACAATAATATCGGGATCCTGAAAACACCTCCGCATCTTATCTTTTACAGTTGAGATGTCTTAATAGACTCCTTGAAAATACTAGCGGGTTGTTAATAAGAAAATATTTATTTGGTGGAAAGACAGAAAATCTATTTTGTATTGCAGTGATTAAGAAACAAAACAAAGCCAATTAGTCCAGGAGAACATGCAATAATTTAATAAATTTAATAAACCCAAACTGTCTTTCTTCCTAGGTTCTTTCCATCACACTGCAAAGAACCCTCTGAAGACAGCATCGTTACTACCAAAGAGTTCATTAATTGAATGAAGGCCAAAACAATCACAAGAACACACAAACTAGCCTGGCAACCCTGAAACACAAAAAGAAGGCTTTGGGGTGACCTAATTGTGGCCTTACAGTATATGAAGAGAGCCTACAAGAAAGATGGAGAGAAACTATCTACAATTTACATACAGTGTAAGGGACAAGGGGGAACGGCTTCAAATGGAAAGAGAGTAGGTTTAATTAGATATTAAGAAGAAAGTCTTCCCTGTGGGGGTGGTCAGGCACTGGGACAGGTTGCCCAGAGAAGCTGTGGCTGCCACATCCCTGAAAGTGTTTAAGGCCAGGTTGGATAGAGCTCTGAGCAATCTGGTCTAATGGAAAGTGTCCCTGACCAGAGCTGGGGGTTTGGAACTAGATGACCTTTAAGGTTGCTTCTAATCCAAACCATTCTATGGTTCTGTGGTTCTGTGATTCTATGAAGACTGTTACCTGCACAGACATGATTAGAACAGGGAAGGTGCTACAAATTTCTCCGTGCTACAGAGACAGGACTTTAACCTGTCCATTACAATCCTTATGGGCTAGAGTTAGTTTAATCATGACAACAAGCCAAACCATGTTTTTATTTATTTGTTTGTTTGTTTTTAGTACAGGCCTCCAGCAAAAGTGGGACAGACTGTGCCAGTTACGTCAGTGTTGTGATGTGGACACCTGCCCAGTAGTAGCTGGACTGAGATGGAACACAGGAATCACACTTGGTAGCATCCCAGCTAGTATCACAGTATTTCTTTCTCAGTGACTTTCACACTATAACTTTTGCATTGGATTGGGATGACCACTTAGGCATCTTGCTACAGGTTATGGGGGGTGAAGAGAATGTTACTATTAGCTTATAGTCAGTTATTTGTAACGTATCAAAATTAAACAAGGATGGCTCTCATAAGAGAAAATTGCCGACACAGTTCAGATCCTGCAACACGTTGTATGCTGGCAGACTTGTACAGGGCAACAAAACCCCAATGAGATTAAGAGGACTGCATATCAAAGCAGGATTCTGGATATTCTGAAAGAGTACAGACTAGGATCTAAATTATTTGTCAAATATTTGATATCTTTTTCTCCTCCTCTCCGTGGTCATGTAGCAAAGGAAATTAGGGGGGAAAAGTAAAATAAGTCACCTTATCCTATGAAAAATAAGCATACAGGCTAACACATGGTCAGAGCCTAGGAAAGGATGCCCAGAGAAGAAAAAAATAAAACACAGTGATACAAAAGGAAAACTTTTGAACTTCCTCAGAAAACAAAGTGAAGTTCCTATATTTTCATGTGGTAGGAGTTTTGCTAGCATTACCAAGTCATACCCATGTCATACGTGTGTCCCCCTTCGTTTTTCACACCATTTCCCAAAAGTGTCCATTCTGGAAAATACTCATATTGCTTTAATAGTAGAGGATTGTATCATGCAGATATGCGAGTGTTTACCTTTAATTTGCTGTTGCTTTCTTGTACAATATTTATAAATAGACTAATTTTCTAAAAGAAGAAAGATGAATCATATGGCAAGGCTAAAAGGAAGGACAGAATAAAACTCAGTCTGACTAGGGGTACAGCTGCTCTACAAGTATTTGGCTGAATAGCTGTTAAATATTCTGACAGAGATATTGGACCAGAGTCATGGATGGCAGTTAAGCTGCTATTTGTTTTGACAATTCCAGCAGTACAATCCTTGGTACAGCAGCTTTAAGGAGGGATATTGAACATTTTTAAAATTAAGAAAAACATAGCCGAAGCAACCCTTCAAAGTCCTAAAAAAAACCAAATCTGAAGCAACATCAGCTAGTAATTACTTTTTCACTGCGTCAGCTATTAATAAGAAAATAGAACTAATGCAGTGTCAGAATATTAGAAAATAAATTGGAATATCCTCTTAAAAGAACTAATTAAAAAACTTTGGAAGTACTTCATAAAGGATGGAATAGAGAGAGAAATTAATATAGAGGAAATCCTTTCAATAAACAGATGTTCCCTGCTTATTTTTTGAACTCAAGTGACTGAGTCAATGGTACCATAAATAGAACGTACTGGTATCCTAACCATTATGGCATACCATAGTACATTTTATAATGGGCCTGCCCTAGCATCTATTGAACAGCTGCTAGGGGTTTTTTTTAGTGATACTAGTTTAAGACTTGTTTAAATCATCATCCAGTGTGCAGAACATCATCAAGAAATGTTGGAGACTTTAGTGGCTTGAAATTTTCCTGGGTTCCTGATTCTCCCGGGCTCTTTTGAGATTTTTCGATCAAGTATTTAGTTTAGAAAAATTAATAGAAATCCTCATAACTAACTGCAATCTTGTTTTCTACAAAAAGAACAACAAATGACTTTCCCCACAGCTTTCAGTGAAATAAATTACTACCTCAGGTCAGTTTGTATTTCACTGTTGTCAAAGTAACAACCACAACAATAACAACAAAAATCGCTTGGTAAAAACTAAACACGATTAAATTTCACACAAGGGGAAAGCAAGTGAAAGCAGTCATTCAGCTCCTAAAACTTCTTTGAGGATGTTTTCAGAAAGTCAAGAGCAAAGATATAAACTCTTACATTTTTTTCTGAAAGAATCACTATTGCCCCTACAAGCTGAAATACTGAGTGTTATGTAAAAGACCAGGCAAAATTACATTGACTTCCAACCTTCAGAATCTATTGACTCTGAAAATCAGAAACAAGAAATGTCTGAAATGTCAGTGAAAGTATTCTGAAGATCAAATCACTCTTAGAACTATCTCCTTATCTGTCTGTATCTGTTATTTTCTGCTCGACATCTCCTTAACTAGACAACAAATTTCAGAAATACCTCTTTTTCTCCTTTTCTCAATTCATTATCAATTTTTAATGAGTGCTTAGATTAGGAATCACTGATATAATCAGTGACCCCCTTTACAATAAAGTTAGTGGCTTTTCTGTATCGAAAACCCTTGAAAATATCTAGGCTGATTCTTCAACAGCTACAAACAGCATCTCACCCCTGTGGTCACTATAAAAAAACCCACAAAGAAAATCGATTTATAATTCAAGCTGGATGTTGAAACCCTATTTTGTTTAAAAATAAAAATATTAGAAAAATCAAAGACAGGAACTTGCTACACCTGAAAATGAGTTAAGATCCTGGTCAAAAGGAAACAAGAAAGTAAGAATAACATGCATATGGATGCCATGGCCATCCCAGCAAACTCAACAGCACTGATTGGTGATGTAAAAGAATCATATCAGGGACTTCATTACAGCCACCTAAGTTAATGTATCTATGACATGATTTCTAAATGAGTAGCACTTCCTGATTTCTCATAATCTCAAATCTAATTTTGAAGTTCTATATTTGAAAGTGCCCTAAAGACCTGTACCCTGATTACACGGTGAACACTTTGAATCAAAGACTTGGTTCATGTGCACAAAAGAGTTCGATTTTCCTGTTTGTTTCATGGTTCACATGCTTGCTTTGCTTGTTGCTGAAAACTGCCATCATAACAGAGAGCATCTGAACTCTATTAGGACAGATTGTCTTTATACAAAAGGCTTACTACTTATCTACTTATGTCCTGAGGAATTCCTCTGATATATGCTAATGTTGCACATTTGAAAATGAATCTTGCTTTCTGGAAAGCTTCACTGATTTGATGATGTTCTGGCCTCCTGGAGATTCTGATATCCCAGACCTCCATCATGTAGACAAATATGAAAAATCCTTCACATGTCACTGCCTAACTGACACAATGTCTGGTACAATGAAGTATAATATCCAAGTCTCTTCCTATATGGCTGCTCCATTTAGCTAAACCGTGGGCTACAGGCAATAAATCCTTTAAGAACAACATCTGATTTACTTGCACTGTAAAGTTGCAAATTAGTTTCTCTATGATCTTCATAAAGATAGACAGAAATAGAATAGAAAAGTTTAACTGCGTTGAAAGCACATTAAGGCTGCTAAATCAAGCACTCAAAACTTAGGAAATGCCAATCACAGCTCTGTTTCCTTGAGTAACTGAGTTATGATCCAGTATTTAATTATACAGTCAGGTACTATTTTTTTTCTCCTACACGTATTCAGATTTCTTGCTCCTAAATTAAAGAATTAAATTGGTAACATAAGTAGGTTGTCATCCTGTAAGTGGATCAGCCCTAATACAGGAAAAGTACTCAAACCCAACTGCAAGCACCACAAGTTGCACTGGGACAACACCAGCAAACTGTGTGTCAGGGTCCATTCTTGACCCTGGGAGGACAGTGAAATCCAGCAGCTCTGGCCCTGTATGCTGACAGACAACTCATCAAATTCATTCTGGGAGGCTGTATGGCTAAGTGACTGCAACTTGGCACTGCTGTGTGAAGCTCCAGGGCTTATATTCACAGCCCTGCCTGACACGACCTTACAAAACCTCGCAGTTACCTCACTCATAAAATAGTGGGGAATGGTCACTGCCTCACCCAGGAATAGGATGTGAAGTCTTGCTCAATAATAAGAGTTATGGGCCTCCCAAAAATAGAAACAGTACATAACAGAAGAGATAACAGCAAAATCCTCCTACTCCATATACCTTCACTGAAGCATAAGCATCCTCAGATAAATATCTTTTTGAAGGTATCTCACATGAGTTCCTATCTAATTCCTCAAAGACCAAGCCACTTCCTTGTAGGTTGGGTGTAGTTTTAGGAAACTAGCTTTGTGAATTTTAGCCATATGTTTTAGCAACCTTTACTGGTTTTCAATCAATGTGCTGGAAAGCCTCTGTTGCCATTACAACTAAAATAAGGATGGAGTAGGGATTTAAAGGTTGCTTTTGAAGAAGCAACCACTGCAAAACAGTCTTGCATGATTAATTAGAAAAACGAAATGTTCTTTGTGGTCATGGGGATAATGAGCATAAAGAGGAGTAAAATAAGTAATTTTGCTATACTTGCAAAAATATTTCACTATGTCACTATCTGTTGGGTTCATTAGAAAATTTACGTTTTACCTTTTTTGTCAATGATTTTTCTGGAATGGTTTATCAGAGGTAAACTAATTTCAAATAAAAGAACTCACTAACAATTTCAAAACCAGTCATTTATCACCATGTGTCACGAGCAGAACTTTTCAGCTAGACTCAATCTGTTATTGTAGGAGGCAAGGTGAAGAGATATTTACCTATAAACCTTATCTTTGAAGTATTGCACAAAACAAAGCCACTTGTCTAAATTCCATGAAGTTCCTCTTATAATCATTGTGTCTTAATATATTTGTAAGTAAGAGTGATAAAGACTAGGACATATTGAACTTCACTGGTTAAATGAAGTTGATATTGATAAACCACAACATATTTTCAACTTTGGAATATTTCTTTAAATCTTGGAACACCATTTTTAGTTCAAATTGCATTAGTTTCCAAGTGATGTAAGATGGGCTGGAATAATATGTTTCCAATTAATTAATTTAAAATGGTACCTTAAGTCAAAGCTGGTGCAATATTGTGGGAAATCTATGTTAGTGAACTTGACTGAAAGAGCCAAACATAGAGATCTATATATACAGGAATAAGACATACACAATAAAACAGTCGTATATAGCCCACTAATGGGCTGCTCCTGAGACTTTTAAGGAACTGGTTACCCTACTTTCACACTAAAAATACAGCACAAGGCTGGCCAGGATTTCAGTCATCAGGTGTTGACTGACAAATAATATAATGCAATTAAATTATTTCTTGTACACTCGGGATAAGCCAGCTCCAGTCTTGTAGGTCAGTTAACACAAAGTAATTTCTTCTCATGAGTTGAGAGCAGTTTCTCCTTTCACTGCTTCTCACACCCAGTGCTTGGTTACAATCCTAGCCAGTGAGATAATTGCCACCCAGAAGAAACATTCCATTTCCCCTTTTTATATCCAGTTATGCTGCTAGTTCCTCCTAGTAAGCAATTGTACAGCCCCGGAAGGAGAATGCACCCTTTTTTGGTGAAATGTGTCATTGTGCCTTTCAAGTGAGGTAGAACTTAAGGGAAAGCTCAAGTCAGACCAATTTCCTGACCACTTAGCCCTGGTGAAGAACTTACTGTTCATGGCTAGCAGTGCATGAGCCTCAGCTGATGCTTTACTACCACACTTTCAGCAGGTAACTCCTGTTTAAACTGAAAACAAATGTCCTTGTCAAGGAAAAAAAATTATTAAAGAAATATAAAAAAGTAAGAAAAAAGTCTCTGCCTGCTATGGAATACCTAAAGGTCTATCTGTTGAAGGCTTTTGCTGTCCATTCTTAAAAAAAAGTTTTAAATACTTGTTTTTACTCTCTTGATTCAGCTAGACTTTGCTAGAAATTTTCGTACCTGTTAAAAGCTTATTTCCTTTGCCTTCTTTAAATATATCAAACATAATAACTCTTGAAACTTGTCACATGGTAAAACAATATGTTGATTTAGTCCTCCTGGTAGCCCTCACAGGCATGTGATGTAGAGGGGAACACAGCATTCACTCTACGGGTTGCTATTTTCTTTTATCAGCACTCATGAAGATTCTGGATTGCATACTGCAGGAACACTTGCATACATACAATAAAGGATTCAAAATTATGAAACAGTTTAACAATATGTAGCAGGAAAAGATTACCTTTCTCTAACTGGGTTTGTTTTCCCAAACATTACAAGAGAGGCTGGGGTTATTAGCAGGATAAAAAAAGGAAAAAATAAAACATGAAGCAATGTTAAGGAAGTTAGGCTTCCTGCCTTTCATATCTCCTTCTTCCAAGCTATTCAGAACCTTGTAATTTCCTGTTGTCATCTCTTGTCACAAACCAGTCTGCTGTCTGATTTTCCCATGGTTTCAGCCTTCCCTGACTTCAGTGTCTCACATAAGCATCCTTTTTCCATAAGTTACATCTCTCTTCAAGACCCATCTTTGCCATAATTCCTGTATGAGATTTACCACATGACTGTATCTTGAGAGATGAGAATGATTCTTTACTGCCTTCTGTAATAAAAATGTAATTACCGCATTATTTTAATTTATAAAAAGGGTACATATATAATCACATGTATTTCTTTACATTCCTTGTCCCAGTCTTTCTGTGTCACTCATCTTTATGAACTGAAAGTTGGGTTCAATAACATATGAAGATGTTTGGTTTTTAATTCCCTTGCTTAGGGAATGAGATTGTATTTCAGTATTGTAGCTGAAGATTACTATTACACAAAAATCAGCTAGGAAAGTTAATGCATATTCTAAAATACTTTTTACATGAGAAAAGTGCATTCAAGCTGAGATTCTGTTCACAAAAAGCTCCGGAAGCAACCTCACACATTATCCCACAATGCATACAGTCCCATAAAACATGCAACAGCAGTGGGTTTTAGTTATCCTTATCAGAGATCCATAAACACATCTTAGCCCTGACTCCAGCCACTTTTAGTAAAAGCAACAGCCAACGTTTTTGGGATGCTTTTCAGCTTCCTTTTTGCTTTATTTCATTCTGACTTTCATTGTTTGGCAACAGCTCTCTGGACCTTAATAATATTGAAGGTGCAAACTAATAATATTCATCTATTCCAAAGGCCAAAAGGTCCATGTCTGTACAGGATATGTTTGAGGAAATTAACACTCCATCAGCACTAGTTGACAGTATTAACATCAATGAAATTTCTGCTGCTTTCTCAGAGATGCCATGTGGGGTATGCATTTCCTGAAACCTTTCACCAAGCTGGGCATGTGTGGCACTTTTCAACCTTCCTGATAAAAAAAAAAGTCCCTTCCTGCTCTAGGCTCATCCAAATTTGTCCTTTTACTTTTCTCAGTTTAAAGTTCCATAAAACCAGATATACTGCAAGTGCAGGTAAATTGATTAGTTAATTACAGTCCTAAGTAAACCCCACAAACCACTGAAAGAAAGCTAAGATCTAAATTGTCAATCTAGTGGATTTACTCTTAATGAAATTGTTAATGGAAACATTAAAAGTTATCAGACAGGAAAACTGATCACAGCTGCCACTCAGGAAAAAAAATCCACCCATTATACTGGACTAGGTTTGATATTGTAAACACTGGTAAGTACATGTAAAATTTAAAACCAATTATTTCATTGTGGTTTACTCCATAAATTAAACTGTACCTGGGGATTCATTCAGGCTGAAGGCAATTCGTACTTGCTTATCAGCAGGTACCCTGGCGGTAGTGATCATGTGGGCACTTGAGTCAATGCTTTTACTTGTTTGTTCCAGCTGCAATAATACAAACAATATATTTATTACAGAGCATGTGACATCATTCAATAAATGAGTTTTAATGCTTTTCATGCACTCACAGCTACCTTTCCCATTCTAGCCAAGCAATGTTTAGAATCAAAGTCAAGGGAGCGCCATTTCACTTTTCCATTTAAAAAGGAATTAAATGAAATTCAGTGCAGAGACTGCCTTTATTTTTGATATTTATAGATTAGAAAGAATGATGGCAAAGGAAGCTACCCCTCTCCTCACCTGCTTCCTCCCTGCCATTGCCCCTTCAGCAAGCCTTGACTTGTGGCAATGCTGCCTGCCTCTGAAGGTGAAGAAGGAAGAAGGGGTGGGGAGTTGAGAGTAACATGACCCCAAGCCTGCCTTGTGATTGGAAATGTGCACACCACTCCACATGGTGTCAATGAGGAGGCACCCATCCTCCTGCCTTCCAACCATTACTCCCCCAGTCCAGCTGGGCCTGATAGTTGCACACTTAATGGCCAGAAAGTTATGGGGTCTCCAAACCTTGGTGGTGATTTCTCAGTGGAAGTCTGTGCAGGTTAGGGGTCTGTCTGCATGGGTTTGGCTCCCGGATCGGGACCTTATTCCGTCCTCCGTCTTTCTTCTGAGACCATCAATTACAAAAGGTGGTTTTACTGAGATGAAACCCTGCCATTAAGAAAACAGCTAGTTCATTTCAAACCTGACACTAAAGAGCAACAAAAGAATTAGCTACTATTGATCTAGAATTAGATCATTAGAACATTTCCGAACACTAGAGAGTTGTACTTGGAGCTCTACTATGTATATGTAACCTTTTGGATGAACAGTTTTGGTTAAACTGTTGGATAGCTGAATACAAGGAATCTCCTTGATTATCTAGCACAAAGCTTCTAAAATTCAAAGATATTAAACTTCTGATTAGCTCCATGTGTGGAGAACATGGAATCAGTGGGACTTCATGCATGCAAAAGATCTGCCCATAAAGAAATTATTTTAGGACTGTGGACTGCTATTCAGTGCACATTGTATTCATACCAACTAAGTGGACAATTATGAGAGTAGCTTTTAAATTACCATAAAAACTTCTTAGTCAATTAGAAACCAAACTCATCAGAAAAATACAACGAATTTACTAATTCATTATCAGCAGACAACAAGGCATTTAGCAAGTGAAAACAAAAACCAGTTTTCTAAGCCAATAGTCTTGCAGTTTTTCAGTAAAGTGGCTATTGTATTGCAGGAAAATCCTATCAACTCATTCTAATTTACACTGAATTATTTGGCAGTTTCAAAATGTCAATACAACAGAACAATATTTCAGTCTTCCTTGGTGGTACACAAGTGAATCAAACACTTCTCTGGCATCACTGCCATGCAATCAGTGGAATAGGATCAAATTTGCCTTGTGTCTGTTAATTTCAGCATTTCTTGTTTATTTGCTTTGTCTGTTTTGATATTTACCTAGCAGAGTGATATGGTTACTTGTTATTTGAAGTACATAATCTTTTCTTAAAATAACAAGTAACCTAAAATCCTTACTTCAAATGAATCTGATTGAAGCTGAGAGTGTCTCTTTCTGCTAATACACAAAGGATACCAGGAATTGTTCTTAATTCTCCCTTACTTATATTCAAGACATACAAAAACTGAACTGATATCTACGGAGCAGAGACATAGAAAAGTCAAATAATTGCAACCATGTATGTTTTTAGACTCAGCAAAAGACCCTTGGAGTAAACTGAAATACTTTATTTTGAAGTGCCTTGCATCAAACTGAATTACTTTTACCTTCTGAGCATTATTGATCTCTTCCCCGGCTCCCCACCCTCACTTCATAAAAAATATCTGGTACATCTCATTGTTTTAAAAAAAGCAACAGAATTACTAATGCAAAATTCTTTATCATATTTCCCTTCCATACTTCCCAATACAAGGTAAAGGAAAAAACTCCACAAAATTAAGAGATTTTTAAGTGATAAGCACATCCTTAAAACAAGGCTGTCCATCCTTCTGTGTTGTTGGTACACTTTCCCCTGACACTGACTATCTCAAGTGGTCTTCCACATAAGAGTATACTTAACATTTCTCATCATAACCTAAGAAATTAAAATGATGCATTCTGCTAGGGGTTTTAAAGTTGCCATAACAATATTGCTATAAGTCTGTTGTGTTATCCCAGTCCCATACTCTCTGGTGTGTGATGCTTTTAAATTACCTCTTTTAACCATCTTTTTAATGTGAGAGCAAAAATCAACATCCTTTCAGTAAGAAATGGTGAATTCTATCAAAACACGAATGTTTTCATTTTATTCCAATCCTGAAAAAGAAATCTCATCTTTATACGCAGCAATTACCTGTAATCAATTTTTTAAATAATATTGAATTTATCCCTTCACTCCTTTTTGTGCCAAATCCTCAAGCTCTTCATCACAAAAAGCTATCACAGAGAACAGAGAGGGATGGAAGAAGCCTGTGTGCAAACAAGGTGATATCATGAAACAGTCAGATTGGCTGCCCCCAGTTCCCCACCTGCTTTCTCCATGCATGATGAACAATATCACTGTGGACAGAGATGAGGGTGAGTGGGCAACCTGGAATTTAATGAGATTTAACGAGCAGCTCTTTTCTTCCCAACAATTGCCTATAGAACTGGCTGCTGTTCCTCTGTAAAATATGTGCAGCAGAACTCAGATTAAATGCTGTTAGAGCTCTATCAAATTTTTTCACACCTGTTGCCTTACCTCACTTAGCGGAGTGTCTGCACTTGTATAATCCAGGGCCAGCCACTGCCTTGGCTTGTCGTTGCCTTTATGGAGTAAAGCTTCAATAAAAGAAAAGGCTGCACCTGCTGCATAGCAACGAACTGACAAGGTCTGAGAAGCTGAGACAGCTGTTAGGGCAACATGCTGCTACCTGCACTTCCCATAGGCTTTGCTGTCCCAAAAGATCACCCTTTTCCGCTTTTCTCCACAGTTATGCTTCTCCTTCCTCTCCTTGCCAGTGACAAGGGATTATGATGCTGTCACGCTCCAGGGAGGAAAAAATCCTTCTGTCACAGGCATTATTAAGCAGCAAACTGTGGTGAGCCCAAGATTTTTAATTCATTAGTCCTGGCAAACCTGAAATACAAACAGACTTGCTTCATAGGACAGGAATGTTTTCAGCATGACCCAATCAGTGTCTGTGTCTATTCCAGCAAACTGGCAAAGATAGCATGACTCCAGTCAGCAAAAATGTCTGCAGCTCCAATCAGCTTGGGCTGACACTACCAACTTGGACTGGCTGCAAGTGCACTTTCAAATGATAGCAGCGACTGTCAAAGCTGACAACAACGGATGGGCTTGGCCTCTTAGGCTAGGTTCTTGTTGGCTTTTGCCAAGCCAGGCTTGTTTAATAGTAGACGCTAGCCCTGCTCTTCTGAGGAGGCAATGGGCAAATCTCAGAATGCGTGGGCTGTAAAAGAAGATGTATTTATAGATCAGCTGGTGATGGCGGTGATAACTGAAGCTGACTCAATCAGAGATTTGACTGAACTCAGAGGATATCCTAGTGTGATTTTGGATAGCTTTTTTTCAATTTTGAAACCACTGGCAAGCAATTAATGGATAAACCCTGAAATATCACAATAGATTAATTTCTTCAGCTTAAACTTTTATTTCCTATTGCCAGAAAATAATGGTTTAATCCCTGTCTTGCACGTGTACTGTGTCATGTACTTGTACTGCCTACATGACTTCAATTGACTGCTACCACTGTCATTAGAACAAAATGGAGAAAAATGGAGAACAATTACAGAATGATTATACAGATATCGTTATTATTCTATGCTTGAAAAGAGGGTTCTCCTTCTTTTATAGTTCAAAATGTATTTCATATATTGAAATTCCAAATGGAAAGAGTTTATCTAACCCAAATCTCTGTAGACACATACCTAGATTCTCTTGGCTCAGCTGAGACATAGAGAGGTTGCAGGACAAATAAAGACAGTCTGAAGTCCTTCCTCACCCTCTCACCTTCTGGCCCTAGTCCAGGATTGATCTCATCAGGGCAAAACTCTTGAAGCCAGCAGTTGCCGTTGTGGCCTCAAAACTCTTGAAGCCAGCAGTTGCCGTTGTGGCCTCAAAAGACCTTTTTTATACTTCAAAATTACTAAACTGCAAAAGTATCCTACCCCCACTACCTTTCCCCCAGCAACGACCAGGGAGGGTATCAGATAGCTACACCATTAGTTAGGTATCTCCTGAGGCTGTCTTTATCCACAGGGTGATTTCAGAGCAGACTACAGGCTCTGGCCCAAAGAGCTGCTGGAAAATGGGACTGCACCTCTGACAACACTGACCATTTTCACTTCTCTTGATGTGTTTTTGAAAAGATTGAGGGTTCTTCCCTATATGTCTGCCTTGGAAGGGGTGGAAGACAGATTTGTCTCTGACCACAACCATTATTGCAAATAACAATCAGCAATTGGTATCGATCTCCAGCTCCACATCCAACTACTGTGAAAGTATTTGTTTGAAGACACAGAAAATCCTGGCTAGTGGAGGAATTAAAAATATTCTGCCCCAGAGCCAGCGTTTCCCCCAAATCATGAGATACTCTTCTGTTTTGTATGGGAGAGATGGTATTTGAATGGTATAAGTGTCTTCATTACATGCCATTACAGTAAAGCCTAAGAAAGGCTCTCTACATAAAATCTTAAAACAGGCAAAATTTTCAACAGCCATGACAGCAAGGGTCTTGAACAGAAACGATGCCTGAATAGCCCAGGGATGTTTTTTCCAGATGGTTCTGCCACTCCAGTTTCCAGACTGAGACTTCTGTTGCACTTAGTTTAAATAGCATATGCATTTGTTAATTGTGTACGTTGTTTTATGTTTTGTATCCACGATTTTTAAATCTCACTGTTTCTAGTTAAATCTGCATTTTTCACAGAATCAAGGAATCACAGAATTGTTGGTGTTGGAAGGCATCTCTGGAAATCATCCAGTCCAACCCCCCTGCCCAGGCAGTGTCACCTGGAGCAGGTGACACAGAAATGTTTCCAGGTGGGTTTTGAATGTCTCCGAAGAGGAAGGATCCACGATGTCCCGGAGGAGCCAGTTCCAGTGCTCTGCCACCCTCAACATAAAGTTCTTTCTCATGTTGAGGTGGAACTTATTGTGTTTATGGTCATTGCTCCTTGTCCTGTTGCTGGGAACCATTGAAGAGTCTGGCACCATTCTCTTGGCACCCACCTTTGAGATATTTATACGCATTAATGAGATCCCCTCTCAGTCTTCTCTAGACTAAACAGTATCTCCTTATAAGAGAGATCTCCAGACCCCTCATCATCTTTGTGATCTCTGCTAGACCCTCTCCAGTATCTCCTTGTCTTTCTTGTACTGAGGAGCCCAGAACTGACACAGTTACACTCTTCTATGGAGTTTGCTGCTTCTGAAAACTGTGACTCATGGGCTAAAATCCAAAACTGCACCAAAAAAGGCCCCTGATTTGCATTTAAATATCAGTTCCATGGTTTATGCAACAATTAGTCACCTGAAACTACTACTTTATGGGAGGTGGAATACTTTTAAAATGTGAGAATATTATAGCATTCTGCATACAGAACATCAAATTTGAAGCATCAGGATGAATGATTTGACTGCAATTGCTCCAGCATCTATTTATTATTGGGGTCATTGTGCTAAAACTCCCAACAGCATGGATTTAAACAGCACATTTTAAAAGGTTGATTAAATTACTTTATACACTAGGGAAGATCTCAATTTTAAACAACAGGGAAATTGAAGTCTAGGCTGTTTCACTTCCTTGACTTGCTCAAATAATAGTCAAAGACATTGTCAATTTTGCGTAGAGATAAATCCCACTTCTCTTACTTACTAAATAGGTGATTAAAATATCTACACCAAACTACCCTCCCATTTCTTGCAACAAAAAATTACTTCTTTCTGACAGGCTGCACATACACCTTATAGTCATCTCTGTGAAAATTACAGAATGCTGATATCTCCAGGGTTTGGTGTTTTTTTTTTTTTTTTTTTTTTTTTTTTTTTTTTTTTTTTTTTTTTTTTTTTTTTTTTTTTTTTTTTTTTTTTGGTGTTTTTTTTTTTTTTTGCAAGAGCACAGCCTGCCCTGTTTCCTTTTCAGTACACTCTTAGTCATCAGCTGCCTGGTCTCCAAGCAAAATTCTTTTAATCCTGCATCACATTATGAAACTGGTGATGTGCTAGAAGAGGATATCATGTTTTATTAGCCAAAAACACCTTAAGGGAACATATCCTAAATTAGGAATACTGGGAGTTACTGATATTCAGTTGTGGAAACATACAAATTTGCAGCAAGTTTTAGGATGAAGTATCAGTTATTCTACAGATGTTAAAAAAAGCCAGTACCTGCAATCTAATAAAACACCTGTTGCCTTCACTTTTTTAGCTGAGCTACTTTCAATTCATCTCAGCTTCCTAGTATAAGTAGTATTTTAGTAGCATATGACCTCATTCATGCTAAAATGGTGTTTCGCAGATTGCCAGCCACTATTTTAAAATACACTTTAAATATTCTAGCATATGGAAGATGTTCCAAGAAGAAATTAAAAAAAAAAAAGTATTGCCTGAAACTGCACATAGAACAAAATCACTCACAATTCAAAATCCCTGACAACTGGAGCAACCAGCAGAGCATTTCATTACTGTCCTTTGGTATTACCTCCAGTCTCCTTGACTAGGTAGTATTTTAACACAGGAAAAATAACGTACTTTCCCCCAGGCTCTACTCCCATAAATGGCTGAACTCTCTCAGATTAAACTAAATCATTAACACCAGCATGAAAGACACATTGAGCACTGACTTACAAAAGAGCACATAACTAACTTTAAAACTAACAGTAAATTGATATCCAATAGATGAATTCACTTATATAGGATCATATAGGCCTAATGAAGGAGATTGCTGCAGAGAAATTAAAGAATGGGCTCAGTCAAAGTAATGTGTATTTACAGGAGCTGACCTGACAATTTTTACACCTGCCCTATGATCATCTGGAAATAACTACATCTTGAATTGTCTGAAAACCTGACAGGTGCAAAATTCCATCACTTCCACAGCAAACTCCATCCAGAAATTGTAAAATCCTAAATCTGCTGAGAAAAAGAAACCTGAAGTCTTTGAGATATTATCCTGCCAAAGATCCTTGTGTAACTCTGCATGGAAAACAAGATGAAAGCTGAAGTGGGAAATATTACTGGAAAAACTTCACTATTGCCAGAAATCAACATGTGCAAACTTACACACTTCATTCACATCAGTGTAGAGATGGAAATAACCTTTATAAACTAATTATGGGAAGAACGATGGTGGGTCATGTCAATGGGAAATGGTGAAGGACAACACGGATAGTGTGCAGTAATTCTCTGGGAGATCAGCAGCTAAATGTTCAAAGCCAGCTTTGGCTAGCACTGGCTAACTGGAAACACCATCACTTAATAAAACATTCATCAATTTTGCTTACCGATTGTGCCACTAAACCACCACATTCAATTGTCCTAGAAAAGAAAGATAGTTCTCTCATATCCATGTAAAAGTGCAGTAATCACTCTGCTTCAGCTGGACTTGCCATTCCTTAAGCTTTCCTTACTTAAGAACTTGCCTGAAGAAGATACTACAAGACATTCCCACTGGATGACAGTTGAGTCATCATGCTTTCATGGGTACATGTGTAAGACTTTCAAATCAAAAGAGTCTTTCATGAGGCTTTTCTGCTCTAAGGAAGAAGTCAGCATCAGAAGAATGTGGCAAAATCCCAAGCAGCAGCTGGTATTCTGGCAATACTTGAAACCTCACTACTGATTCAGCGCTGAAACTGCCTTAGGTAATACTGACAGCTACAAACATAGAGGAGAAGTTTAGAAACAATAAGTGCTAGAATATTTATTAGCAAAAAAAATTCATTAGTAAATGCATCTCATAATAGTCCAGTCCTCTCACCTCCTCTAGATACATATCTGCATTTGGAGCCCACTGTATGGGTCAACTGTATGCTGGGCTACATCAAAAGGGATGTGACCAGCAGGTTGATGGAGGTGGTTCTCCCCACCTGCTCTGCTCTTGTAAAACCCCGCCTGTGTCCAGCTCTGGGAACCCCAACATTAGAAGGACCTGGACCTGCTGGAGTGAGTCTAGG